AAAGAAAGGGTAGTAGTGTAATTATTTTAACATTTTCAGCCTCAGAATACATCAAACAATCATTAAAAATAAAAGTACATAAACATTCTACATAACAATCAGAAAAAAAAAAAGAACAACGTACAGTCAAATTATAATTTTGAATAAATTAAAAATAAAATGGATTAGACCATATAACCTGAAGGATTACAGGTAGAACAGAACAATAAATTTTATATTTTAATGAGAGTGAAAAGGGATTCTTTCAATAAGACCACCATGAGGCAAAGTGTATGTGTATTCTTCACCAAACATACATATATATATATGCACCACATCTGCAACTTATATATACATAATATTGTATATATAATTGTATATTGTATATACTTATATATACAATTAGTGCACTGACTGTTTCTACAGTTCAAGGTGACTGCAGCGAATACATATTACACACTTTGGAAATTTTTTTCTGCATGTAGTTGGATGGCTTGCATGTAAGTTATATGTGATATGCATGCACATTTTGCGTGTGCTTTATGTCTGCCTGAAATATATTTTCTCTGCATCTGCTGTGCATATCTACAATTTGTACATTTTTTATCTTTAAGAACTGACTGTAAAGTATAGATTTTATAAACACACACACCATGGCACAACAGGTTTGGTTCATTTATTTGTTTTTCAGGTGTTAACATGATAATCAATTATATAAAGTAAGTATTTTTAATGCTAATATGAGATTTTTTACATTATACTTTTGTACACCAGAAAAAGGTTCCATCATCCATTAACCCCTAGCAAAACGATATTCACTGTTAAAGCTAGCTGTTTTACACTGCAAACACTAGTGATTCCTAAACTGTGTTTTGCAAAACTCAAGGGTTCCATGGGACAAAATCAGCAGTGGCAGATACACTGTTTAAACAAAATTACACTGACAGAAGTATCATTCATTCTTTAGTCTTGCATAAATCTTTTCTTATTCATGATGCACCACACAGAATAATTCTACAACAGAATGATAGTAATGTACACATATGTATGCAAAAGGGTTCCAGCACTTGTGAAAGTTTGGGAACCACTGGCCTAGATTACAAAATACAAAGTGAAGATTACTTATGATAGTAGAGAAACAGGCATTTGAATGGTTTGTAATACTTATTGAATATTTCTGCTAATATTTAAAGTGAAACTCTTCAATTTGACTTATCTAAAAAATGAATGAAAAATAGGCTTAAACAATGGAGTTGGGAGACAAGTTGCACACTTTGTACCTGTGCCTGCTAGTACAATAACAAAGAACACAGTTCTTAATTCATTTAATTTCTGGAAAGAAATGGAGAGGGAAGGTAGGGAGTCCAATCCCCCCAGGACCCCTCCTCTAGATCTGCACTTACTTATAAAATATTAAATAATACAGAAATGCAGTTATAAATTAGAAAGATAACAGAATGTAAAAAACAGTAAATATATACTTTATTTAACACTAAAGTAGCCAAAGAGATGCACATGTAGATGCTAGTCCACAGTCCAAAATTAGTTATGACAGTAACTGATAGCCTTAGTAGCCATAAAATAGACAAAACAAACAAGTTTGGTGGCAAAGTGAATCAAATATGAGATCCTAAAATATGAGACCATGCTGGATCCAAAGCTGAACAAATTTGAAGTGAAAAAAAAAAAGATTTGTAATGCTAAAATCGGGTTTTGATATTCTGGAGGACAGAGCACAGACAGCCCATTATGTAAGTAGCTTTGCACTTAACATAAAAGCAATATTTCGAATATTTGGTTATTTGGAATTATCAAAAATAGTAATAATAAGAAACTCTAATTTCATTTCAATTAGTTGATTATTTACGTGACAGTGATTTAATCATAATTTTATTTAATTGACTGTTGGAATAATTGAGAACAGTACTAATCAGAACAACTAATTTCAATTAGTTCATAATTTTCATGGCAATTGATTTAATTGTAATTTTATATAATAAATTATTAGCTTATGTGAAACTAATCCATGTAATTGATGTTTATAGGTAATCAACTATACAGATTAAATCTCTGAGCTCTAAGAATCATGAGCACTACATAAATATTATAACTAATAAATTGTATGAGCAGCAATATTACAAGTTATGCTATATTTGATCATAGATGGTATGTGACATTTATGCCTATGCAATTTAACTTTGTAAAAATAGTAACAAGTAGAAAATTTACAAGAAAAACTAGTACAGTAAAAAATATGCAACTTGCTCACACAAAATTTGAGTAACTATCAATGATTTAACCCTCTTCAAATGGGTCAAAGGCCACGTCATCACGTTTGTTGACTCGCATTCAAAGTTTTATTGAACTACTATTTCATGAATTTATGTCAATAAGTTTGGTACCAAACTGTAGATTATAATTCAAATTTTAGTATTATACATTACTTATATTCTTAATTTAAAAAGTAAATATTAAAAAAAAATTAAACATTAATTTTTGTATGCTACATGGTATGTTGAATGCAGCACTGGTTCAAATTAGATGTTTGTGATGTCAAAATACTAAGTCTATTGTTTCATACGAATTAGGAACTCAAATTATTGTTACGTCTCCGTTTCGTTAATTGATTTTTCCGTAACTTC